GATTCACAACAACCAACCTCTCCTATAGGTTTCCTATTTTTGAAACTTCCGCCACCGCCTTGTGCGGTACTACTGGTATGGGTCAATCGTTGTCATCGACTGTCAATTCATGTCCTTTTTCCCTCTCTGGTTCTGCACTGCCAGCACTTGCATCGAGTTTCATCATGAGTTCATCGGTTCACAGCAGGGCTAGCCGAATGAAACAAGGCCTTTGTCACAATTGTCCAGCTGTCCAACCAAAACCAACATTTCCAAATTTCGACCGTGGTGAACTTTCGAAATTTCCCCAGGGATGATCCGGGATTCTCTCTATGGCGGCCAAGACGGCCAAGAAGTCGATGAAGAAGCCCAGTGCGAGAGGTGCGGCCTCGCACAACTTGACTCAACAGGACTCAACCTGGTTCAAAAAAATCTTTGATATGGATTTGACGTGATTTTACATGTGTCAGTTGGCACAAGCGGTGCTGACTTGTATACAGTTGACCACAATGTCCAGTTGTTATGCACAACCAATGGTGGCTATCACCAACTTTACTTTGTGCCCAAGATTTTTTCAAATCAGCCTGCTTTGCCTTTCACTTTCCACAGTGTTTCCGAGGTTGTTCAGGATAATCTTTTTGATCTGGTTTTGGCGCATGTTAAGCCTTGCACTTTTGATAACTTTTTCCAACTCAAGACCCGTCAGCGCTTAGGGGCTCGATTTTGGCTTGACACGGCCAGGCCAAACAAAGCGACCGGCCAAGTCTGAGAAGAGAGGAATCAGGGGAGGGACATTAGGAGCAACCGAGCAAAACCACTTGGTTTTCCGACCGCAAAAACGGATGTACATCTATGTGCCGAGAGTGTGAGAGAGACCAATTTAGAAACTCATGATCATTTTTAGGGGGATCTGTTGTTTTGTTTTAGTTTGAGTTTTTTGGATCCCGCTTTGCTTTCTTGTTTGTTGCATTCCCTCCTCTCTATGTCTGTTTGTTTTGCTTGTCTGCTTTATGTGTATTGAATAGCTCTTGCATGCGGCACTGACCACCTCCACCAATCAAAGCAACAGCAAGATCATGAAGTGCGATGAACATAGCGACACGAAAGCAGCCAGGAGAACAAGAAGCGCAAGAAGGGCAACCAATGGTAACCATAACAAGAAATCAATGGAAATCAAAAGGCGGAAAGGAAGAGGAGGACGAGGACATAGGAGGACTACAAGAGGGGCAAGGTCAAGTGTTCAGCCACACCAAGTGCAAGACAACACTGCCGAGAACTGCAAAGGCGAAAGCAGAGGAAATTCTTTTCCGCCGAAATGTAACACCCCGGTGGGAGAAGTTCAACTTGTTCTGCGGTCAGTTGCCCTGCAAGAACGTGTGAACTTCTCAGATTAAGACAAGGATGCATCCAAACCCCGCAAGTCCTCGTACACTGTGAACATTGTATAACATCTGTGAACATTCTGAACATCTCTGAAGATTGGGGTTTCTGGAGACGACTTCATGCTGGTTCTAGGCTTAGTTGGGCTTAGCCGCCGTAGAAAGATGAACGGGACAGCTTGCAGCCAAAAAACGACGCAACGAACGACACCAGCCTTTTTATCCAGCCCCAAAGAAGAAAGCTGCAAAAGAAAAGTGTATGTACATATCGTTACATATCATCTTGATCCAAAATGCTGCAAACATTGTGCAAATGGATCAGTAAATGCAATGCACATGGCAGGTTTCGGTTCCAAAAGGCTGCAAAAACAACACACATGAGAGGTTGAAACTCCAAAATGGATTGAAGTAGATGCAGAAAGGAGCAGGTGAACAGAACCCACAAAAACAAACTAAAAGAAAATCAAGTTCCGAAAGCAAGTTCCAACAGATTCTGCAGCTTGTGCCCAAGATTTTTTCAAATCAGCCTGCTTTGCCTTTCACTTTCCACAGTGTTTCCGAGGTTGTTCAGGATAATCTTTTTGATCTGGTTTTGGCGCATGTTAAGCCTTGCACTTTTGATAACTTTTTCCAACTCAAGACCCGTCAGCGCTTAGGGGCTCGATTTTGGCTTGACACGGCCAGGCCAAACAAAGCGACCGGCCAAGTCTGAGAAGAGAGGAATCTGGGGAGGGACATTAGGAGCAACCGAGCAAAACCACTTGGTTTTTCGACCGCAAAAACGGATGTACATCTATGTGCCGAGAGTGTGAGAGAATAGGAAACTCAATGAAAAGCAGGTCCAGGAGTTCAAGTTCCAAGAAGTGTTCGACAATCGACCATGAAATTTTCAGCCGGGGACATCCGGGGACATCACCAGGCTCCAAGAGCTCCAAGAGCTCCAAGAGCTCCAAGGGCTCCAAGGGCTCGAAGCCGAAACCTCCAGTTCTCAAGCGGCCGTCGCGAGGCGAAGCCGTGCTCCGTGCCCTCCATGATCCGATAGCAGCTTTCTCAAGTTGAAATACAACAAGTTTGTGCATAGTAATAATATGTTATAATAATCATTAGTTATAATATGTTATAATCATATATCAAATTATAATTATAGTAACATATCAAATTATATCATATATCATATATATATATATACATACAGCAAATATTGGATTCTATGTCAATGTTGTGTTTCGATTCTCCGGTCAAACCTTGGCCAGGCTCTTCACGACCGACAACTCTGCGAGGCCAGACGTTTTCGCACCGGGAAGAAACCAGGGCAGCTCGACACTCAACATGGAACTTGGCCTGGTATGACCTCTCCAGATTTGTGTTACGAGCTCATTTTTGGCGGCAACTGTGTGTCACAGGTTCAATTTCCGCAAAAGATTTAAGCAAAACAGCACTACAACGACAACAATAAAACCTTTGTCGCATGATCAGTCACGAGCCAAACTAAGCAGTGAATTCACAGAAAGATCGTTTCCTACTAGATTCTGAATTCCATCAAGTTCCTCCGTGCCTAATTTTTCCGACTGCAGGCATCGTGGCTGCCCTGATTGCCGCTGCAGCCATTGATTTTTCGAAACCTTTTCGGAAGGCAAGGTTTGACCGAGTTCTTCACCCGTGCCGCACCCGTTGCACTCTGCAGTCGCAATGCTGTGACTGCGCTGCCTTTCGAAATCTGCAGGTCCTCTACATCATGCGTGGACCACCGGGATCCGGCAAAAGCAGCGTGGCACGGCTGTTGCTCCAAAAGCACCTCGCGGCCCAGGGCCTTCGCCAGAACCCCTGAGCTACGGAAGCTATGACAGGATGGTTTGAGTGGATCAATGACACAGATGGCTCAAATGACCATCATGATCCATCAAGTAACCATTGATTGGTAGATGCTTGGTAGATGCTTAGTACCACTAGTACCGCACAAGGAAGTTTCAAAAATAGGAAACCTATAGGAGAGGTTGGTTGTTGTGAATCACGGATGTCAGAGCGAATCCAGATGGACCGACAGCTGGTTGAAGTTGTGTTTTTTGGAGTGGTTGCAATGGTTGCAGTGGTCACCTCACCACAACTGCTGGAAATAGTGTGGTGTAGTGCAGTTGTAGTTGTAGTTGTATTGTAGTGCAGTGGAGTTGTAGTTGTAATGTAGTGTAATTAGTGTAGTGTAGTTGCAGTTGCAGTTGCAGTTGTGGTGTGGTGTAATTAGTGTAGTGTATTGTAGTGTACTGTAGTGTTGTGTACTGTAGTGTGGCATAGTGTAGTGTGGTCTAGCGTATTGTAGTGTTAAAGTGCTGTAGTTGTAGTTGTAGTGTAGCGTCGGGTAGTGCAATGTAGTGGTAGGTGCGGTTGTAGTGTAATGTCATGTAATTAGTGTAGTGTAGTGTAGTGTAGTGTTATGTAGTGTTGTGAAATGTAGTGTTGTTGTAGTTGCAGTTGTATTTGTATATGTAGCTGCAATGTACTGCAGTTTAATTAGTGTATTGTAGTGTAGTTGTAATTGTAGTTGTAGCTGTGGTGGTGGTAGCAGCAGAAGTAGTAGTAGTCGTAGTAGTTGCTGCTGTAGTAGTTGTAGTGTAATTAGTGTAATTAGTGTAATTAGATGTAATTAGATGTAATTAGATGTAATTAGCGTAGTGTAGTGTAATTAGTGTTGTGTAATGTAGCGTAGTATATTTGTACTTGTAGTTGCAGTAGTAGCGCAGTGTAGTGGTAATTGTAGTTGCACTTGCAGTTGTAGTTATCTATCTATCTATCTGTCTATCTGCAAGCCTGAAAATGAAGCTATTCTGCGAGGCTTCCTGAGCTTTTTGAACTTGACAACATCAAAGCAAAGCAATTCTGCGAGACTTCCTTAATTTTTTAAACTTGACAATGACAACGTCAAAAACGAAAGAATTCTGCGAGACTTCCTAATTTTTCGAAGTTGACAACATCAAAAATGAAGGAATTCTGCGAGAATTCTTTCAAAAATGGAAAGTTGAGTGCAGAGCTGACGGCCTCGTGCCAATGCGTTTTGTGATATTTCCACGCCAGTGTCTAAAGTATTGCGCCTGCCACGAAGAAGTGAGGCCAGGTCATATGAAGTGCTGCACCTGTCACGCAAAATCATCTTCCCAAAACTGAAGATCTGATGCTCCAAAATGCAACACTTCTCAGGAAATCAGCGCCCGGATCCTAACATCTCTGATGAACATGTCTCTTGTACTGCGCCTGCCACGGAAAATGTATCTTTGCAGATCCTCTTCGAATGTCCCACGCCTGCTACCGTTTTGAAATGCTACAAAATCCTCACGTTTTGCTGACTTTTGACTAAGTACCAAATCCCTTGCACCTGCCACGCAAGAACGACATCTGAACATCAAAAAGTGTTCCGAACCCGTCAGTTCTTTTACACTTTTGACTTCGAAATGTGCTTCGCGCCACAACCGCCTGCACTTTTTCGACATCTCAAGTGCCAAAAGTGGTCCGCACCCCTAGTGTTTTGTACATTTTGACTTGTAAACGTGCTTCGCGCCACAACGGCGTGCACTTTTTCGACATGTCAACTTCCAAACGTAGTTCGATGTTGGTGTGTTTTATATTTATACATTTTGACTTGGAAACGTCCTTCGTACCACAACGGCATGCACTTTTTCGACATGTCAACTTCCAAAATTGCTCCGATACTGAGGTGTTTTGTGCATTTTGACTTCCAACTGTGCTTCGCGCCACAAATGGCGTGCAACTTTTCATCTCTCATTTGACCACATGGCTCTGCACCCACAGCCTACTTTTCGGCCCTCTGGAGCCACAAATCATTGAAAAACACAGTGTTTCGCGACTTTCCTACCTTTTCGCGCACCTGGATCTTCTTTCTTCTGAGACTTTCTCTTTTTTGATTCTTTCTTCTTCACTTCTCTTCTCTTCTCTTCTCTCATCTTCCCTTCTCTTGTCTGACTCTTCCCATCTCAGCTTTTCATCTGTGGAGATTGTCGGAAGTTTGACTTCTAAGCTTCCTTCGCTCAAACTGTTGGGCGTGTAGCTGAGGCTGGAACCCCTCACAGCCCGGGGCTGCCTTTTCTCCAATCTGTCGAGCATTCATTTGTTCCACAGACGACTACTTCACCAAAGTCGATGACGAGGGAGGTGGGAAGGGAAAGATGGTGAAGCGCGGTCGAAGTGGTTGAAGTGGTCGAAGCTGTGGCATGTGGCTGCCGTGGCCTTTTTTGTTATACGTTTTTCTGCTGAACCGGTGCCGGTTAAACAATGTTTAACATCCCGTAGAGTTGCAGAGTTGCCACCGTTGCCGCCACCAGATGCGATCTACGACTTTGAGCCGCAACGACTTCGTGAGTTGCACCAGAAGAACCAGCAGCGTTGCCGCGATGCCATGGAGTCACTCAGCTAAAAACCCGGTGCCAAGACATTGCAACACGCACCCAACATGCACCCAACACATACCACTTGAGGACTCACTTCTGTTCACTGAAACTTTCTCCATGGGCTGTGTTGAAGCTTTCAAGTACGTCTACTTAAATGCAGGAAGAGGGCCACAAAGCTATGTCAACCCCAGATTAATATCCCGATTGAATAATGAGACGGTACCCCCACGAATAGTACTGGGTCGGTGTTGTAACGACTGCCGATGACAAGATCTTGTGCCATAGTGGTGTGCGTATGGGGAAAGGGAAAGGCCCACATGGGCAACGCCTAAGACTTTAACTTACTGATGTATTTTTGGGCACTTCGCATAGGCACACCATGCTTACCTGTCATATCTTTCTGGGTTTACCCACTATACTCCCAAAGATGAAAGTCGTGGCAATTGTACACTTTTCCTGGATTTAGGTTGGCAGACAAATTTTAGGAAGTCGTTGCATGTTTGTATGTTGGAAATGTTATGAAACTTGGTGTGCCATGCGGAGGATGATAGTTCTGACTGTTCAAACAGGCATATGGTTGTCAACTCTTGGTTAACAAGCTTACATTAAACGCATAGTAAATAGATATATTTGAGCTGCCTGCTTCAGAATTAGTCCACTTTGACCGCCGGTGTGCCAATAGGATTTCCACCTGGCGGAATATTATTGACGTCTGGCGTAAGCGGTGTGCCATGCGGCTGGCGCAAGTTTTAGTAGATGGCGTAGGATCACGCAGGGGCTTGTAGGTACCCAGCAAATAGTAGCAATGTGCTGCTAGAATGGTCCCTCAAATTCAACAGCCTAGCGGCTTATTACCTGGGGTTGACATTATGCATCAGTGAACAAGACATTCAAGGATCCACGACTTGTTCATGCAAATTCGCAGGCCAAATGTATAGGTTAGAGTCTGAATGCGTGATCTGGTTCATTTCAAATTGAAACCAGCAAGCCCTCAGCATCCCTTAGCATCCCTCAGCATTCGAGGTTGAGTCAAACTCCATTGTTTGTGGACAACACCAACATGGTGTGAAGCTCAGCTTCTTACTCCACCAGTCACCATATACCATAGATTCCATAGATCACTTTGTGTCGCACTTTGGCACATGGCATCTTATGCGCCGCACGCACGGTTTGAGCTCTGTCCAGGCCCTCTGGGAAATGTCGGAGTATGTGATGCTGGCAGCAGTCTGGTTGCAGATGGCCTTCGTCACAGGTTGCCACAGGTTGCCACAGGTTGCCACAGGTTGCCACAGGTTGCCACAGGTTGCCACAGGTTGCCGCAATTCGTAGTGACACCTGACGTTTCAACTTAAACTTAGGAGGAGTTCAACTACGCTGTCATGAGACTTGGCGGTAAAGGACAAGAAGCTGAATTTCGGCTATCCTGTCCTCGGGTTCAGTTTTGTCATGGAGTTTTGAAACACCGTGGAGGAGAAGCGTCTATGCCTAGACACATGTATCAAGAATTGAATGCAAGACTTTCTCATGCCAAGGTTGCCAATTGTTTGTCTTCCACGTTGACTCACAAACAAATTCAATTTTGCTTGGAATCTGACCTGTAGATACCTGTAGTGTTTTGCCTAATACGCTGCTGTAAGGGCTCAGCTGAGGATCATTGGCGCAGAACAGCTTGGTGCCGGAGCATTGGATTTACGAGTGCTGCAGATGCGATGTGCCCAGGACAAGGGTTAAAGGGAGACGTTTCGGGCAACTGGTTATGACCAGCTATGAGCTCATGAACAGCTCATACTCATTGACTTTAAAGATGCGACCTGTGAAGTTTCGGAGCAGTGAGTTTTCGTAGCACACCCAGATCCTAAGCAAGGAATCTTGGGAGGGCATCTTGAAAATAGACTCTGACGATCATGGCTACTTTGCTGTAATGATGTCCTCAGTGGAAGTCTTCACCGGTTTCCCAAGTTCCTTGCAAGTTTAGAGATTTTAAAGTCTGTCTGAGTCTTTCGGAGTCTTCGAGTCTGAATCTATCTTCTCCGGTACTTCAGGTATTTTCAGGTTTTGGATCCCTGAGTCGGAAGCACCTGATGCATCTGATGCTGCTGTGAAACTTCCAGGAAGCTGGTCGAGCTGATGGCAAAGAAATCCCATCAACCACCCTGGAGCGCATGATTAGCAGAAACTCAGATGCAGCTCGCAAGACTTGCCGCGTTTTTCCTGGCTGTTCATGTCTCTGCAAAGTTTTATACGGTGAGGATACGAGCCATTGCCGGAGGAGGTTAAAGGCTGGGCACAGCCAACGCGTCGGATACGCTTCATGAAATTCAATCAGATTCCATGTCCGAAAGACGTCGCGCAAAGTTTTTCGAACGATTTTCTGCAACGTGTTCCCCAACATCCGAACAACCATCAACAACCATCAACGAATGCAACAAAGACATACCAAGAAATTTACCAAGAGCAAGACCAGCACTTGGAGGATTTGGTCAAAACTTGGTCGCTTCAGAATCCTTGTGAGGTGTCCGTTTTTGGAATGCCGCCGAACTGGACTTGCTGAAGAGTGCCAAGCCAAAGCCAAGGCGAAAACAATTCTCGCGAGATCCAATGGTGTATGTGTTAAAGCCCGTGCTAAGAATATCTACTTATTCAGATTCTACTTCCGAACCTTACGGATTATGCTCTCGAAGTTGAGCAGGTTTGTGCCGCTCAGCTCCCACTGCTCAACCAGCTCCAGGTTTCGCTATGCCGGGCTTGATGTCGAGACGTCTGCCCTGGAGGTTCGCAGGCCTAAAACAAAGAAGTCGTACTCTCTGTATGTTTATTTAGTATATCTGGATTTTGCTGGGTTCATGAGGCATGAAAGACTGCTACCAGCAATGTTGGCAGCCATACTTCAAGCTTATGATAAGCACACACACACCTTACACATGAGGATGGAAAGGCTAGTGTGAGGGACTTTGATCTTAATAAGCATAATTCGAATCAACGAATCAACGAACCTCTTTCTGAGCTCAAAATTACTTTTCAGATGTTTTTGTATTAAAGTTTTGTTGACGGAACCTCGTGCCTGCTGTTCTTTGCAAAGCTGTGGAAATTCCATAAATCGGAAAGGACAGCACCCCAATAATTTCCAGAAACGTTGCGAAACGTGCTACTGGTACACTACAGATTCCAGATGGCAAAGCATCGCGACCCGAGGGTTCATAGCAGTCGCAACATTCTGCACCAAAGCTGTAGACACAGACATTCTAATCATTCTACAGACTGACGCAGCCTGGGTCCTCTTGCGATGAGCTGCCAAGGCACTGGCAGCAATTGATCTTGGCCCATTTTTCTGGGAGGCCCGATTGCAGGGGACTAATCTGGGGCCTTTTTGGGGACCTCGAGGGTTGTGAATTTTCAATGGTTCATTCCAGAGCCAAAAGAAATAAAAGACATTCGCTGCAACACCTCTGCAAAGGTACGCACAGAGTTCCGCGATCACACTCGTTCTTGGCGAGGGTCCTCTTCAATTAAGTTTGTCCATTTTCATCATTATCCTTCTCTTCTCCTTCATCCTCTTTCCATGATGAAGTTTCTCAATTCCGTTCCTCTCGTTTCGTGTTACTCGTTCCTCCTCATTCCTCCCTTTTAACAGAAGGGAACAGCAGATGGGTCCCTGGGTTTGATAGACTTCGACGAATACCCCCCCTTGTCCTTGCTTTTTTTCTTCATTTGCCTCCTCTTTGCAGGAACAAGGGTGAAAGAATATCATGGACAGTCATGGACATTGATGAGATCTTGGTTCCGGAGGTATTTTCACCGTGTGGGTATACCCCGTATATCCATTTTTGTCAGGGAGCTGAGCAGCCTGAAGGACAAAGGCACACGGGCGCATCAGGTTTTCTGGACTAAACTCAAGCCTGTTTGCTTGACATTTTTTTGTTGGGATCTAAGCATTGAAATCACTGCAGTCAATCCTTGAACCATTCGTGGTTTTCCTCGTCTCCATTTTCTTGGTTGGGTTTTCTTCGTTTGACCTTGCGACAAGGCATTTCCTCGCTGCTCGGATGGCAGATCGCTGGACGTCACCGGACAGGCTTCATGCTGCTTGGCTCAAGCTGCTAGGGCCACTATCTTGTGCTGTGAAATGTTCTCATTTGATCTGCAAGCTTGGCCAAAAATTCCTGCTTGGTACATAGATCCATAATGATCCATAACACTATATAACAGTCAACCTCAGCCAACCTCAGCCAACCTCAGCCAACCTCAGCCAACCTCAGCCTCCAGCTCCCCAAATTCACAATTTGGGGCTCCTTTAGAGCGACGTTTTGCGATTCTAAGAGGTCACAGTGCTTTACTTCGGCAAAGATTCCAAGAGGCAAGAGGCCTTCAGGGCTTGAAGATTTCCAGGGCGGTGTAGAGATGTGTAGAGATGTCCGGATGTAGCAGTTCAAACAGTTCAAACAGTTCTACTCTTTTGTTTTGATGGGCTTTAGATGAAACATAGCTGAAAATTTGATCAGCACTCTGCTTTCCATGGCATGATCGAGACCCGCATCGAAGGCAGAAGAGCTTGTTGGTAGGACGTTTGCAGTGAAGGCCAGCTGTGGAAAAGTTGGAGATTGTCTGAGATTTGGCTTGACGAGTCTTCAATCACCCGGCTCTCATCAGCTTTCGGCTTTTTCGCTCGTGAGGTGAGCGGCCTCGTTTTCATTCGTGGTGGCAGCTTGCTCTGTGCGACTTGCGTTTTCGGCCTCAGTTCTGGGCTGTGAAGTCACGAAAAAAAGTTTTCGGGTCAAGCAATACCGGCAGCACAGCAAACAGGAAAGACCCCCTCCTGTACATCGGGCTCGAAGTCCATGCCATCCATGTTTAATAGTAATGGACATTATGCTGCATTTGCCCAACTTGGCCCCGGGATCTTTTTGGGGAATCAGGAATTCAATGCAGGCGAGAAGATTAATTATATCTGAATCGTTCTGTGAGGAATTCTCCTCCGACGACTATGAAACCTTGGTGTGAGACCCAGAGCCATGCTTCACCTTGGCTGTGAGCAGGTAGAGACATATCGCACAGAGCAAACCTGTCTTCCACAAGCAATAGAACGCACCTTGGAAAAAGTTGACCGCGTCAGAATTAACATTTTGAGCCAGTGGAACTTATTGCTTTGAAAACAGCGAAATGCCCTTGTTATTCGTATGGTTCGTGTATGGTTCGTGCACGGGCCGCCTATCCAGGCCTCTCTTTCAGAAGATTGGCGTCCACATATTACGCCGCTTGACGTTGAATGATAGAAGGCAAAATATTTGCAAGAATTATTAGTAATATAATATATATATATATATACGTATATAGAATTTCTATAATATATAGTCTTATATAGTTATATGAGAGATTTCAAGAAGTTAAACTAAGTTACAGCAAGAATTTAGGAAGAAATGGCAGCCAGGTCAAAGGCCGCAGAGAAGACAAGCAAAATTTGGAAACCTCCCGGGTAGGGACCACATGTTGTCCAGTATATCAAGATATATCAAGAGAGCTTGTCACAGCTTGTCACTGTTTGAGGCTTTTATTCTCTGGACGCTGGCGTCCAAAGCACTCGAATGACATGCTTGTGGGTATGGAGGACGCCTGCACTAAGCAGCACATATGCAACAGTAAATAGTCAAAAAGGTCATGATGGTCTGAGTATTTGCTGTGCTTGGTCTGAGTTCGGTCATGTTTGGTCCTTGTCATTCCTTGTCAATCTTGAGGAGGCAGTGCGTCGCATGGAAGCCGCACCCGAGGCACCCGAGGATAACGGAATTTGTGCTTTTCCATCTCAGTTGAATCCTCTCTGACTTGAGGCTGGCTCGATTGAGGCAGGAAGGGAACAAAGTTGGGGTCAGAGACGTCAGAGACCACACACTGAACCGATGTCAGCGCCAGATGGAACCATGAACAGCCTAAATTGCAGACCATTTCAATCGTGCAAATAGAGCTCCAGTTGTGCCTGCAAGCGGGTATCGTCCATGCGCGTGATGGGATCATTTGTGCGTGCATTTTGTTTCCTGAGTTGGTTCAAGATGTTTTGGGCACGTACACGAACATGCAAGCCTGGGCACGTTTGTGTACAGGTCAGCCTTATAAAGTTCGGAAAGATACAGATGAACCAAGAAATCCAAGAACAAGGGGATGAGAGATGAGAAAATCGGATGCAATTCCCTTGCATCACTTGGTCTTTCTCATATCTTCGGAGCAGGGCTTTGAGTAGAAGATTATGCCTGCAGAACATGATCAAGCGAAGTATGTGTGTGTGTAACCTCTTATAACAAACAGGATTTTCACTACAAGTCTCTGACAAACACATTGCAGCACAGGACCATTGTGGACACCTGTGCCAACAAAGCTATTCCACAATGAGGGAAGCGGAGATTGATCACCTCCGCGTACCCGCAAAGTTGTTCAGAAATGGCAACTGGGCCAAGACATGAACAAGCATTTCTTTTTTTGTATTCAGAATGGGGTGTGCGTTCCCATATTCTCGAAGCTATCTATATTCAGAATGCTGCATGCCACATTGTCTCATGCATTCACATGCAACATTCCCACACAACATTGTCAGACACAGCATTGTCACACATCACATGGTCACACGCGCAGTATTTCTCCTATATCTGGTACTTAATACCAGTAGTACCGCACAAGGCGGTGGCGGAAGTTTCAACAATAGGAAACCTATAAGAGAGATTGGTTGTTGTGAATCAGGGATGGCAGAGCGAAGCCACTGATGGACTGAAAGGTGATGGACTGAAAGGTGCTTGATCTCTCTCTCTCTCTCTTTTTTCTCTTTCTCTCTTTTTCTTTCTGTTTCTCTATCTTTCTCTGATTATCTACCTACCTACCTACTGATTTATCTGTCTACCTCTCTATCTGCCTGTCTGTCTACCTATCTATCTACCTACCTATCTATCTAGCTGTCTAGTTTACTAGCTATTTGTCTGTCTATCTATCTATCTATCTGTCTATCTATCTATCTATCTATCCATCTATTAATCTATCTATCTATCTACCTAGCTATCTATCTATCTATCTATCTGTCTCTCTATCTATCTATCTATCTATCTATCTATCTATCTCTCTCTCTCTCTCTGTCTCTTTCATCTGTCTATCTGTCTAGCGTCTATCTATCTATCTATCTATCTATCTGTCTATCTGTCTATCTGTCTATCTGTCTATCTGTCTATCTGTCTATCTGTCAACTGTCTATTTGTCTATCTGTCTACCTGTCTATCTGTGGTGCAGTGTCATTCAGTGTAATGTAGTGTAGTGTAATGTAGTGTAGTGGAGTGTAGTGTAGTGTAATTTCGTGTAGTGGAGTGTAGCGGAGTGTAGTGGAGTGTAGTTGTGTAGTCCTAGTTGTAGTTGTAGTGTAGTGGAGTGTAGTGTAGTGTAATGTAGTGAAGTGTAGTGCAAGGTAGTGTAGTGTAAAGTAGTGTAGTGGAGTGTAGTGTAGTGTAATGTAGTGTAGTGTAGTGTAATTTAGTATAGTGGAGTGTAGTGGAGTGTATTGTAGTGGACTGTAGTTGTGTAGTTGTAGTTGTAGTGTAGTGGAGTGTAGTGTAATGTAGTGAAGTGTAGTGGAAGGTAGTGTAGTGTGGTGCAATGTAGTGTAGCGTAGTGTAGTGTAATGTAGTGTAGTGTAGTGTAATTTAATGTAGTTGTAGTTGTAGTGTTGTGTAATGTAGTGTAGTGTAGTGGAGTGTAGTGTAGTGTAATGTAGTGTAGCGTAGTGTAGTGAAGCGAAGCGAAGCGACATCTGAACCTCCAAAAATGGTCCGAACCCCTAGTGTTTTGAACATTTTCACTTCGAAATGTGCTTCGCGCCACAACGGCGTGCACTTTTTCGACATCTGAACCTCCAAAAGTGGTCCGAACCCCTAGTGTTTTTAACATTTTGACTTCGAAATGTGCTTCGCGCCACAACGGCGTGCACTTTTTCGACATCTGAACTTCCAAAAGTGGTCCGAACGTGGTGTGTTTTGTACATTTTGAGTTGGAAATGTGCTTCGCGCCACAACGGGGTGCACTTTTACGACATCTCAAGGCACCCCTGGTGCTTTGTGCATTTTGACTTCGAAATGTGCTTCGCGCCACAACGGCGTGCACTTTTTCGACATCTGAACTTCCAAAAGTGGTCCGAACGTGGTGTGTTTTGTACATTTTGATTTGGAAATGTGCTTCGCGCCACAATGGCGTGCAATTTTTCATCTCTCCTCTGGCCAGCTGGCTCCGCACCCGCCGCTTTAGCGAGCCTACTTTTCGACCCTCCGGAGCCCCAAGCCATTGGAAAAATACAGTGAATCGCGACTTTCCTACCTTTTCGCGCATCTCCATCTTCTTTCTTCTTACTCTTTCTCTTCTACTCTTCTCTCTTCTGATCTTTCTCTTCTCTCTGCCTCTGCCCTACTCTGCTTTTCATCTGTCCATATTGTCTGTCCATATTGTCTGCCAAACTTCCTTCGATAAGAAGTGGACATGTCGGGTTATCCGGTCCTTTCGGGTTGTATTTTTTCATAAGGCTCGTCATTTTGTGGGGCTGGCGCAATACTTGGCAAGAGATTTTGAAAGAGTGTCTAGCAGAATCTTGCCCCCACTTTCTGTGCAAAAGTGCAAAAAATTGCCTTTCAAGAAACCCTCGCAAGATTGTTTCACAAGAGCTTCTGCCAGAGTCTCTACAGGAGTCTTATGGCTATGCCTTGCAAGAGTGTCTCAGAAGAATGTCGTTCGACAGTTCTTCTAAACATTGCCTCAGAGACTTGCGCCACAGAAGTGTCTTACAAGGGTGTTTTCCCAGCGCGTTCAAGTAGAGTGTCTTGCAGCTTGCAGGAATCCCACACCAGAGTCATTGGAATTAGAGTGTGTGTTTCACAAGAGTCTGTCCAAAATCAGCTGCACAGGAGTGTCGCACAGGGGTGTCCCACAAGAGCGTCGTCGCGAATGATCTTGAAGCGTGTCTTGCAAAAGCGCGTCAGACAGCTTACAAGACTGAGCCACACAAGCTAGGACACACGTCCCACACTTTCGCGCAGAGTGGAGAAACAAGACTACGTTCCAAGAGCGTCTCACAACCACAAGAGTGTTTCAAAAGAGTTTCCGACAGGTGGCCTTGTCCCATAAGAATTCGTAAGACTGTTTTCTAAGAATGTGGAACAGAAGAGTGTCTTGAATGATTTTTCTTGGAAGATTCACGCCTCTCTTTTGAAGCAACATATGCTCCTAGACCATGCTGTTCATTCATGTTCATGGGGTCTACCAGCATTTGAAGAAACTGCAGTAAATTGATTCCAGCCCGCTGCGGGAATTCCCATCTTGGATGGCGCCGCAATTTGCGCCTTCTGTAAATTCAGAAGCCGCCCAAGTTTGCAGCATCTTCCTGTCCAGAATCTTGCACCTCAACACAGAAAAAAATGGTGCAAGTGATTCGCTTTTAATCAGCACAAGTTGTCTCGAGCCAAACAAAGATACGCAGAGGAGAGATGGAAGTGATATATGGCAATGCCTTGCAGTATATTGCAGCACCGCACCTTACAGAAAGTGTGTCACGTCAGGTAAACCGTAATGCTCAGAACAGTGCAGAACCTGCTTTTCATATGTTGACTTTGAATTTCTGGTGGGTTTCAGGTAGATCTGCAACATTTTTACCATCCGCAGGGATCGGCCTTGTGCAGGTTGAGGAGACGCAGCTCGATCCTGTGAGCCAACCTGATTCCATGTCAACGGAGGCAGAACACTGAGCAAAATTGCCTTGACCATGTTGATTGCAAGCACAGTTCCACCCAAGAATTCTATTCTGGTGGAAATTTTGCCACTTTGAGCATTGAGACTTGAAGCATATGCACGATATTTTTGTTAGATAAGCTTGAATGTCCAAGGTACATTGGTTTTCATTTCATGAATCTTTCACCTGGCCACAGGATGTGGTGAAGAGGCCGCAGGCTGCATACTAAGTCCTGGCGATGGGCATGTGAATCAGTTGCGAAATCATCACGGTTCTATGTTTGGTGCAAAGTTGCTAGCGTCTCTGTGCGGACACTGCAGGTTCGTCAGACCATGCACGATCATCCCCATGGCACACTGCAGGCACGTTCGACTGTAGGTATGCGGTGCAGAGAACCTGCCTGCCATTGGGCATCTTAACATTATGGCTTTGGACAGCCACATGTAGGCGCTTGATAGCGAATCTTTTGCGGTAATTCCTGCTCACTGCTGCTCTTTGGTTGCGCGATCCATGTGTATCATAATTCTTTTGACAAATCTTTTACAGAGCCAAAAAAATATGAGAAAACATATTCGTGGGTTTTTTCGTGAGCTTGCGGGTTCGTAGGGAATAAGGTCTGCCGAAATGCATAAGACTGAACCAGGTGGACCAGCAGAACAATAAGCATTTCCAGTTTCAATCTGGCCTTGGAAAGAATATTCGTGACACTTTTGGTAAAGATCTTTACGCAGTCTGTAAAACTTTAAGCCCGGCAAACTCCGACGAACTTAACCTTGCGCGCAAAGATGTCCAAACATTTCCTACGTGTGTTTTAACGTTTTCGCCCCTAAAACGCATGGAAAAACAGCACGCAGAAAGTAAAATCGCATTTTTTACCAGTTTTTCCACTTTGGCAACAAGATTTTCACGTAGCAAATTCGGCCCCGACGAACCCCGACGAACTCCGGCGAACTCCGTTCCTGGGCCATCTCAGAAATTTGATTTCTATTTTTTTTCCTGATTAGTTTTAACCTACCACAAAGCGACACACAGCGCCTGAATGCCAAAGTTCCTTCCCAGCTGCTACCAACAAGGACGGGGTCAGGGTCATACCTTGTGTTCTAGAAATCCCTTATTCCCAACGAACCAGGTTGCTCGCGAAAAAAGCCACATATTCGAGGTCTTTTTTGCTGCTCACCCACATGCTCGTCTGGAACAAAGGTCACCTAGTGCACCTGATGCCAAACGCAACTTTGTGGTACAATGAAAGCATTCCGCTACGCAGCACAGCGTTTGAAAACCTACTAACAAGTTTGGCCAAAAAAAATCTGATACGGTTCTGAAAAGACAAGAGAACGGTTTTTGCGGGGTAAGACATCGAAATTCCACAAGCCGCAGGATGATGAAGGATTGGCCCGATGGCTATCCAGCAGTTTATGTCCCGCAGTTTATGAAATTATTATCGCATTTTTTGCAGCTATCGATGCACTTGACACATTGTTTCCATGGATATTGACGAATCATCACTGATCATTCAGCAATTATTGCCCTGGCTGCCGGCCATGTCTCAGCTCTATGCATCATTACGCGTAATGGAGCAGTGCCACTCAGTCACAGTTTGAATCTGGGACTCACTCACCTTATGTTTGTCTGGCATTTTGCTGCGCAAACCAAACGTCACCCTGCGGTTTCATGGTTCATTAGTACCTGCCATGTTTGCTTGTATTCTATGATGGCATGTCATCAAAGGAAGTTTTCATGGAGGAAACTCCGAGTTATGGACAGATTCTTTCTCACTAGCCCAAAGATCATTGTGTCCAGTGGGAACCTGCGTTTAGAGATCATTCAGTCACATTCTCACTAGCCCATTGTGTCCAGTGGGCACCTGCGTTCAGGGATCATCAAGTCAGATTCTCATTTGCCCAAAGATCATTGTGTCCGTTCAAAGATCATTAAGTCACATTCCCACTAGCCCAAAGATCATTTTTTCCAGTCGGCGCCTGCGTTGAGAGATCATTAAGTCACATTCTCATTAGCTCAAAGATCATTAAATCCAGTGGGCATGTACCTGAAGTAGAGGGTCCAGTTGGCATGTACCTGAAGTAGAGAAGTATCTGAGAAGATCGTTATGTCCAGTTGGCATGTACCTGAACTAGGGAAGTATCTCAGAAGATCCTTAAGTCTAGTTGGCATGTGCCTGAAGTAGAGAAGTAGCTCACAAGGTCATTGAGTCTATTTTGCATGCTTCTGCCTAGAGTAGAGATGAGAGAGGAGAAGAGGAGATAGGAGGTGCTTTTGCGTCATGTGTTGCGATTCTGATTGTGTTTTGCGAATCACTGTTGGCAGATCGCCTTGCACCAAAGCCTCCCACACCTTCTCCGGAACCTTTTCCGGAACCCTGTTGAACCTGACCTGGCTCTGCACCAAAGCCTCCCAGACCTTCTCCGGAACCTTCTCTGGAACCTTCTCCGGAACCCTGTTGAACCTGACCTGGCCCCGCGCCAAAGCCTTCCAGACCTTCTCCGGAACCTTCGGTACCTTCTCCGGAACCTCGTTGAACTTGACCCGGCGCCTGCACCAGTGCACATCGGAGCTGTTCTAGGCTGAATCAGGCCCCATTAGCTTTCGCTGTTGGGGAAAAAATCATAAAATTCCATTTGCTTTGTGATCCGTGTCTCTGGCTTGTGTGGTTGCATCATCCTCCAGTTTTTTTGCGCGCATGTAATCGCATTATTGACGATTATTTTTCATCATTATGATCATCAGCATGGCTTTGCAAATTCTCAATCTGGCCGTTAGTAGGGTCAGATCTTTGCGCCGCATGAACTCGTTGTGATGCCAGGTGCTGTCTGGGGTCTCTGTTTCTGACGAAGCGAATCTTGATCTTTGCGTCTTGCAGTTGTTGCTTGGAAGCATTTATGTGTTTTTTCATTGTATATTTATAGTTATTTATTATATAATATACTTTTTTATTTTTTATTTACATGTGCTTGTGTATATTTACATGTAGATACATTTAAGATTATCAATATGCGTTTGATAGGTTACTTTATGATCTTTTCTTGTCCTTGTTTTGGCTAGCGGCTGTTACCGACCCTGTAGGAAAACGCTATTTTTATGTTTACTACTGAATTTAGTTTGTGGAGTTTCGGGTGGAAGGGTGGGGGGGTGCAATAAGGTTCAAGTGCACTAGCATCCTACAAATCTAAAACATGCTACGTCTCTTGCACAAGAGATGATGCTACGCTACGACACGTTAACCACATGCATCTTCCTTTATTTTATGTTCCTAGATGTCAAGAGTCATGTACAAGAGATAATGCTACGCTACGACGCGTTAACCACATGCATCTTCCTTTATTTTATGTTACTAGATGTCAAGAGTCATGTACAAGAGATAATGCTACGCTACGACACGTTAACCACATGCATCTTCCTTTATTTTATGTTACTAGATGTCGAGAGTCATGTACAAGAGATAATGCTATGCCACGACACGTTAACTACATGCATCTTCCTTTATTTTATGTTACTAGATGTCAAGTGTCATGTGCAAGAGATGATACTACGCTTCAGCCCGTTAACTATATGAATTTTCCTTTTTTTGTTCCAAGGAAGTTTAGAAGTTAAACTTCCGACAATATGGACAGATGAAAAGCAGAGATGGGCAGAGGCAGAGAGAAGAGAAGAGCAGAAGAGAGACGATCAGAGAAGAGAAAGAGTCAGAAGTAAGAAGATACAGGTGCGCGAAAAGGTAGGAAAGTCGCAAAACACTGTGTTTTTCTAATTAATGATTTGTGGCTCCGGAGGGTCGAAAAGTAGGCTCGCTAAAGCGGCGGGTGCGGAGCCATCTGGCCAGATGAGAGATGAAAAAGTGCACGCCGTTGTGGTGCGAAGCACATTTGTGAGTGAAAAAGCTAAAAACACCTCACGTTCGGACCACTTTTGGAGGTTGCGATGTCGAAAAAAATGCCGTTGCGGCGCGAAGCACATGTCGAAGTCAAAATGTACAAGACACACCATGCTCAGACCACTTTTGGAAGTTGAGATGTTGAAAAAGTGCATGCCGTTGTGGCGCGAAGCACATTTCGAAGTCAAAATGTGCAAAACACACCACGTACGGACCACTTTTGGACATTCAGATCTCGTTTCGCGTGGCAGGCGCAAGGGATTGCGCACCTTCTCAAACGTGAGCAAAACGTGAGGGTTTTGTAGCATTTCCAAAAACGATGGCAGGCGTGGGACATTTGAAGAGGATCTGCAAAGATGCAAAAACAAAAGACATGTTCATGAGAGGTGTTAGGAGGTCAGGGCGCTGATTCCCTGACAGGGGTTTGCTAAGATGATTTTGCGTGACAGGTGCAGCACTTCGTATGACCTGGCATCAATTTTTCGTGGCAGGCGCAGTACTTTAGACAGGTGGAGTGGAAAAATCGCAAAACGCATTGGTACGAGGCTGTCAGCGCTGCACTCAACTTTCCATTTTTGAAGGAACTATCGCAGAATTGCTTTGTTTTTGATGTTGTCAAGTGTGAAAAATGAAGAAGTCTCGCAGAATTGCTTCGTTTTTGACGCTGTTAAGCTCAAAAATGAAGGAAGTCTCGCAGAATTGTGTCGTTTTTGATGTGGTCAACTTAAAAAAAGGAGGAGGTCTCGCAGAATTGCTTTCTGTTTGATGTGGTCAACTTCACAAAATGAGGAAGTCTCGCAGAAGTGCTGCGTTTTTGATGTTGTCAACTTGGAAAAATGAAGAAGTCTCGTAGAATATCCAGGTAGATAGGTAGATAGGTAGATCCATATGATAGATAGATCGATAGATAGATAGATCGGTAGACAGGTAGATAGGTAGATAGGTAGATACCTAGATACACAGTTAGATAGACAGATGGGATTGATAGATAGCTAGATAGATAGATGGATAGATAGATAGATAGAGAGATAGCTAGATAGCTAGATAGACAGACAGATAGATAGATAGATAGGTAGGTAGATAGATAGATACATAGACAGATAGAAAGGTAGATAGATAGATAGATACATAGATAGATAGATAGATAGATAGATAAAGAGATAGACAGACAGATAGGCAGAGAGAGAGAGAGTAGGTAGGTAGGTAGGTAGGTAGATAATCAGAGAAAGAGAGAAATAGAGAGATAGATAGATAGATAGATAGATAGATACATAGATAGATACATAGATAGATAAGTAGGTAGGTAGGTAGGTAGATAGTCAGAGAAAGAGAGAGAAAGAGAGGAGACATTAATCACCTTTCGATCCATCAGTGGCTTCGCTCTGCCATCTGTGATTCACAACAACCAACCTTCCCTATAGGTTTCCTATTTTTGAAACTTCCGCCACCGCCTTGTGCGGTACTACTGGTACTAGATGTCAAGTGTTATGTATAAGAGATGGTGTTACCCTACGACAGATTAACAAGAATATTTATCTTATGGTCGTTGATGTTATGTATTATGTATGGCCGGCTTTTATTTTATTGGTTCAATTATCAAGAAAACCTTATGAAAGATTTGGCCAAGATGGTTAGTAAGAAACGATGAGGATGAGAGAAAAGAGGCTTCGATGGGAAATCGCTTTGGAATCAGATTATTTTATATGACCCCAAAAAACAGTCTTCGCCCTCCTGTAAATACCAATGAATCCTGATATTGCAAAGGATATGAAAATATTACGAAATACAAGTTTTTTGAAAGATTATCGATGGACCAATTATGCGTAAATTTCCTAGGGTCGCTATTGGCGCCGGACCTTGACTTGTTTTGGATTTTTTGGAATTTTGGCCGCGCCGTTAGCCCAGACAGGAATGCTCCGCTAGATCTCGGAAATTGTGATTTCAAGCTGTTCTGAGCAAAATTGCCCGTCTGGGATAGTTTTAGTGGCGCTGAGTTGGAAAAATTGGCAGGATATTGGAATTATTACGAAAGGCTAAGTAATTTGAGCTCGAGTTCTATACATTTTAATTTATTTTAATGCTAAAAATATATTGGGAAAGGGGTTGATTTTAACGGCCTAGAATAAATTCCTTTCGATTTATAGGACGGAATACGGTCCAACCCAAAGGCGTCGAAATTTCTGCTTGTTAGGAAATGTTAGGTTATTATTAAATTTGTACCGAGTGCTGGAATTTTTGAAGTCTGAATTTGACGTGTGGTTTTGGAATGAGCTACTTGAAAAAGAAAACCTCGTCACTTGGATTTGATTTTTAGACCAGGTCTCTCACTCCAAAAGCGCCGTCTTTTTTTTGTTTTTAGCGGTGATCAGTATTTTTTTCTAGGATTATAAGGTTGTAAATTTCGAAACTTCTAAAGGTCCAGAATCCTAGATTACCAGTATTCTGGGCTCTAAGTGTCCAGTATTGAATGCTCTAAGGATCAAGGTTCCATACTTACAAGGCTTTTGGTAATTTGATTTGTCAATAACGAAATAACAAATAAGTGTATTGTAAAATAAATGCTTAAACAAAAGAGGGCTACTTCAATAAATTTTTAAAAATATATTGTGATCAATATGATCTATAATAAAGCGTTAATTCTACACAAAGTGCGAGGTTCAATGTTTTTTACAAAGCTTTTATTTTCTAGGAAAAGATAGTAAAGGTCTAAGGTTATAAAAAACTAAGTTTGGGGTTCCACAATTCCATGATTTTAGAGTTTTATACTTCCAACGCTCTAAGTTTCCCGTTTCTAAAATTCCGTAAACTAAGGGATCCCCATCGTGAAAGTCCAAAATTCAAAAATTTAGGTAAAGTGTGTAGGTTGTAGATTTATAAATAGTCGAAAAATCCCGAGATTCCTGGGTTACGGGATTAATTCTAAGTTTGCAGGGCTCCAAGGGATAAGGCTCCTGGAATCCACTATTGCAGTTTCCATGGTTACAAACCCTCCAAGGTTTCAGAGTTTTGCTACAGGGTTCCGCGGCAGAAATGGTGTGTTCTTATTTTATTTTTATAATATTTGTTAATTTTAATTTTTATATTTTAATTCGTTATATTTTTTTTATTATATATATTTTTTTT